TTCAGAGTTCACAAATGAGTAATACAACTGGATTGAAGCATAGAAACACAAATATTGACACATAAAAACCTGTCAGATAGAAAGTTAGAATGCCACTTATGCATCAAAATTGAAAAAGCTATGAAATGCTTATTTTGACCATAAAATGCCAAAATTGGTCATTTTTGCAGAAATTCTATCAAATAAAAGTTTAAATCCTTTAGTTTTATGCTATTTGATAAATTGACACCATCAAATCATTCAGGGAAGTTGCCAAAGTACAGATTCTATATTTCCTGATTTCACCTCTTAGGTCCGAGTACACAGTTATTTCGTAGTGCATTTCTTTTAGACAATAAATGAAAATTAAAAAAATCCCACCTGCGCTTTCTCAATAATATTTTTACAGTGTGTTGTACTACTTTTGGGACAAATTATATCAAAATTATAGAAAACTTCATCGGCTCTAACTCAAAATATGGACAATTTCATGCTAAGGGGGTCTTCAAATCTTTTGACAGCTTCCGATGTGCTAATTTTTAACATTTTTCAGCTGGACCAAATCACTACTTTACTTTAAAATTCATGACCCAAATTTTTTACAGTGTCATTTCACCCCCCTACTTACTATTTGAGTCATAAAACATGGAGAAATAAATTCGGAAGGGGTATAAAAAAAATCGACAAGTAACACACTGTCCACACTAGGGACTATATTCGTGGACAACGAAAATCAAAGGACGATAACTGTGTACCCGGACCAATAACAAACAAGAGTGCACACGCTGAAATGTCTCGCCTTCTTTACTAATCATTGATATTATGTTGATAGTCCTAAATATAAAGCTTTACTACAACTATCACATACACTTAACATGATCCAAGAAAATGAGGTCAAGGTCATATAAACCAAACAAGAAATACATGTACACCTTACAATCATTCAATACACTAAATATAGTTGACCTATTGTTTATAGTTTCTAAGATACAGACTTAACCAAGAAAACTAAACATTGACCAATGAACCAAGAAAATGAGGTCAAGGTCAGATGAACAATGCCAGGCAGACATGTACTACAGCTTACAATCCTTCCATACAACAAATATAGTTGACCTACTGCTTATAGTATTAGAAAAACAGACCAAAACACAAAAACTTAACACTGAGCAATGAACCGTGAAAATGAGGTCAAGGTCAAATAAAACCTGCAAGACTGACAGGTACATCATAAAATATTTCCATACACCAAATATAGATGACCTATTGCATAAAGTATAAGAAAAACAGACCAAAACACAGAAACTTAACTATAACCACTGAACCATGAAAATGAGGTCAAGGTCAGATGACACCTGCCAGTTGGACATGTACACCTTACAGTCCTTCCATACACCGAATATACTAGACCTATTGCTTATAGTATCTGAGATATGGACTTGACCACCAAAACTTAACCTTGTTCATTGATCCATGAAATGAGGTCGAGGTCAAGTGAAAACTGTGTGACGGCATGAGGACCTTGCAAGGTACGCACATACCAAATATAGTTGAACAATTGCATATAGTATTAGAAAAAAAGACCAAAACTCAAAAACTTAACTTTGACCACTGAACCATGAAAATGAGGTCAAGGTCAGATGACACCTGCCCGCTAGACATGTATACCTTACAATCATTCCATACACCAAATATAGTAGACCTATGGCATACAGTATAAGAAAAACAGACCAAAACACAAAAACTTAACTATAACCACTGAACCATGAAAATGAGGTCAAGGTCAGATGACACCTGCCAGTTGGACATGTACACCTTACAGTCCTTCCATACACCGAATATACTAGACCTATTGCTTATAGTATCTGAGATATGGACTTGACCACCAAAACTTAACCTTGTTCACTGATCCATAAAATGAGGTTGAGGTCAAGTGAAAACTGTCTGACAGGCATGAGGACCTTGCAAGGTACGCACATACCAAATATAGTTATCCTATTACTCATAATAAGAGAGAAATTAACATTACAAAAAATCTTAACTTTTTTTTCAAGTAGTCACTGAACCATGAAAATGAGGTCAAGGACAATGGACACATGACAGACGGAAACTTCATATCAGAAGGCATCTATATACAAAGTATGAAGCATCCAGGTCTTCTAGCTTCTGAAATATTAAGCTTTCAAGAAGTTAGTTAACGTTGCCACCGCCGGATCACTATCCCTATGTCGAGCTTTCAGCGATAAAAGTCGCAGACTCGCCAAAAATTATGCTTTATTTTTGCTTTATTTACATTTAATTGAGGTTGTGTATAATGTTACAAAAACATAGGGGTAATTTTCATGAAATTCTGTATAAAGTATGTTATTTTTAGGAAAATTATTGGAAAAAGTAGCCAGTTAGTTGGGTCCTTAACCATCAATATTTCTTATTTTCTTATAATAAAATGTGTATCTCTTAGGATTTTCTTTTTAGACATTAAAAAAAATTGGGTCATGAATTTAAAGTAAAGTAGTGATTTGGTCCAGCTGAAAAAGGTTAAAAATTAGTATGTCTGAAGCTGTTAAACAGAATTCAAGACCCCACTAAACATAAAATTGTTCATATTTTGAGTTAAGAGCTTACGAAGTTTTCTATAATTTTGATATAAATTTTTCCACAGTATTATTGAGAAAGCACAGGTGAGATTTTTTTAATTTGCATTTATTCTCTAAAAGACATGCACTACGAAATAACTGTGTTCTCAGGCCACTGTCCATGAGTAAATCATAAAAAAATAAGAAATATATATGTCGTGCCCATAACTCAAATCCCTTACTGAATTTTTTTTAAATACCATTTACGTAAGAAATACATTTTTTGTGATTATACTCCCATAAATAATAGGTTAACTGTTGATATCTTTGATGGGCTACATGTATATGGCCTTTATTTCATAATGTTGTTGTGTTCTAACAATAAACCTGTTTTTCACTAATCAAGAATGGGGGTATATTTTTGCAGAATGTAAAAGAAATAACCTTTTTCCTGTGATGTTTTTGGTTAGTAATTTGTTAATAAGTTGTGTATGAATAATAATTGAGCATAACAGTTGTAATAGTTCATTAAATAAAATGCTCCGCTGGGCGCAGCTTGATACGACCGCAGAGGTCGAACCCTGAACAGTTGGGGTAAGTATGGACACAACATTCAAGCTTGATACAGCACTGAATTTGGATTGTGATTAAATATTTGACACAGCACAGGTTTCTGACACAGAATGAATGTGGTCTAAGAACTTAAACATTTTTAATTTACCTATTCAAACCATATCATTATTATTTGCTTTTATATATAAATCAGAAATAATCAATTTAAAATGGAAAATTTTAAAGAAAAAAAATCCCCCCCCCAAATTTTTTGAACCCCCTTATGATTCATCACCCCCAAACTCAATCTCAGCCTTCCCTTTGTGGTATGGTACCTGCAGTACAATTTCAGAGAGATCCATACACTTGAACACAAGTTTTTGTCTGGAAACTAGAAAAATGCTTGTTTTTTGGCCCCTTTTTGGCCCCAAATTCCTAACTGTATAGGGCAATTACCCCCAAACTCAAACCCAGCTGCTTTCCCTTTGTGATATGGAACCTTGTAGTACAATTTCATAAAGATCCATACACTTACACACAAGTTATTGTCCTGAAACTAGAAAAATGCTTGTTTTTGCCCCTTTTTTGGCCCAATTCCTAAAATTTTGAAGCAATTACCCCCAAAATCGATCCCAGCTTTCCCTTTGTGGTATGGTACCTTGCAGTACAATTTCAGAGAGATCCATACACTTGAACACAAGTTATTGTCTGGAAACTAGAAAAATGCTTATTTTTGGTCCCTTTTTGGCCCCTTATTCCTAAACGTTTTGAGCAATTACCCCCAAACTCAATTCCAGCTTTCCTTTGTGATATGGAACCTTGTAGTACAATTTCAGAAAGATCCATACACTTACACACAAGTTATTGTCATGAAACTAGAAAAATGCTTGTTTTTTGCCCCTTTTTTGGCCCCTAATTCCTAATATTTTGAGGCAATTACCCCCAAAATTAATCCCAGCATTCCCTGTGTGATATATATGGAACCTTGTGATACAATGTCAGAGAGATCCATACACTAACACACAAGTTATGTCTGGAGGTAACAAAAATGCATAATTTTTGCCCCTTTTTGGCCCCTAATTCCTTAACTGTTGGTACCATAACCCCCAAAATCAATCCCAACCTTCCTTTTGTGGTATTGAACCTTATGGTAAAATTTCATAGAGATCCATTCACTTAAACTAAAGTTAGAGTGCGAAAACCAATATGTCTTCGGACAACGACGACGACAGTGACGTCATACCAATATACGACCGTAAATTTTTTTTGCGGTCGTATAAAAATAAATTTCTGGAGTTTAATTTTACATGCAGTGTCTGTAACCAGCACTTGCATAACCAGATACAAATTAGAATACAAACAATCATGTTTGTTTTTCATAAGTTTTTACAAGTTTTACAAATTTCAAGCACTACTAATTCAGGATCATAGTTTATTCTTTTGTGTTGAGCATTATTTTTACCCAAAATGCAACCTTACTGTTTCCTTTATTGTGTTTTATCGAAGAGACCAGAAGTAAATGACAGTAAAGAAGTTAGCAAATCAAACACCTATACAAGATTTGTTAATGTCAAATACCAGCCAATTGTAATATAGATGGGCAACATAAGAATGACTTGTAAAACTGGTGTCATAATGTTATATACTGTCCCTTCTTTTTTAATTGGCTCTTTGCCTGATTACTAATTCCTCATAAAGGAAAGTAGTAACTGAGCTATAATGATGTCATGGTTTAACTATCAAACAATGTAACCAAAGATCTTGCTTTTTCCTACACACTCCAATCTATGTGCTGCAATAGAAGAAAATAACTGTTTTGACTACAGGATTTTTACCCCTGTCTAAATTTATGACAGTGAACTTTAATATAGAAAGTCTTTAACGAAAACCTACCAATATGCCTGACAATATGGTTTATCTTCTTAACTTTCCCAAGATGATAAACTTGTAGACTGTTATCCCAGTGTCCACCACTAATCAATAACTTTGCATCATGGGATACAACAAACAATTTAGGCTCAACTTTAATACCTGGAGCAAATGGTACATTTAGTCTTCTTTTACACCTAAAAAATATAGATAATATGAAAAGACCTGTTCAACCTATCACTTGGCTATCACACCATCCTTAACATCTGTAAGTTTATTTCTTGACAAAATATCACTTAAAAAGTCATTTTCTTATTGTCTGATGTGATATACAAATACTTTATACAGCATAAAAATCTTGGAACTAATATATGACAGCCATCTTTATAAAAATGAAAGAACCTTTGTGAGCACGCTCACATACCCCACTGCCCTACATAAAAAAAATTGTCATGTATTCAACATTTTTTTTAACCTGGTGATCAAACCAACACTGTGACTTCTTTAGGTAACTGACAAGGTCACATCATGAACTATCTCCATTCAAAAATGTTGTCATCATAGATAAAAACGGGAACAATATCTGGCAAATTGCTAACGCAACCTTTGCTGACAGATGTGTAATACTTCAATTTCATATTCCTGTTTTATATTCGAAAATATCCCTAACTACAAACATATATTCATTTATTAATTTGTCTATTTTCAGAGTCAAGAAATAGCTATTAAAACATTCAGGTACAAATGTAATGAGTATTATCAAACTTGAAATTCAATAAATTTTCTTTCCAAATTATTTCCCTTATTAATGATAACTGTTACAGTTCTTTGCATCAGTACTGCCATAATACAATCCATGTGACCACTTTTCAGCACTCAACATGACTGAATTACTCTGTTTTATGTGTTGTGTAAACAATCAATGTATTGATCGGATTGTTAAGTAACTGGTGATTCATGATGTAAATCAATAATGTTTGGATTATTATTGCTATATTTTACTGGAATTTGCATTTTATATTAATTTTAAAATAATTTGCTATCCAAGATGCATCATTTTAACATCCAATAAACAAATACATGTTTTTGTATTCCCCCTGGCTCTACTGTCGAGCAGTGAGTCAGGATCCAGTGCTAAATAAAAACTAACTTGTTTGTGGTAATTGAAGGGTCTTTCTCAAACAGGAAATAGTTAGAAATGGTTTTGTCATATGGCAACCATCCATGCATACCAATCTTTCCATCTTCTGAAACTGTTACCTAAATAAACAATAAATGAATAATCAGAATACAATTATTGCTGAAAGAATTTAATAGGTTGAGGGATTTGTATTTCTTTTATAGTTAATAATATTCTATTTAGATCATAACAAGCTGTCAATGAGATTATCAAAGTAAATAAAATAATTTTATTTCATATTTCTTACATAACTCTATTCAGACTTGAATTCATGGACAATAGAGGGACAATGGCTATCTGCTCAACAAAAGGTGATTTAAACTGTGTAACTGAGTGGACCTATCAAATGAAACTCATGTGTTTGTTTATTTTGTGATCTTTTGCAGACTGGAAAAAAATGCACATCAAAATCTTAGCAAGTTTTTAATTTTCTCAAACATAAAATGAACATAACCTTTATATATCTAGGGTCAGCCATGTCTTAAAACTTTCCTAGATGTATAGATTTGTCTGTACTCAAGAGTAAATTTTGTAGTGGAGAGACGGCCATATTTATCAATCCATTTGATTAACTTTAAAGGAAGTACACCACTAATTCATGGCCCCATTGCTTTCTATGTTAAATTCCTCAATTTCAAGCAGACACAGCTCTTTTGTTTCAAGTTCAAATAAAGTGACAATCATTGCATGTCAAAGCAACACTTTATGGTGTCTTGTACTGGAAAAATCAACATACCTTTAATGGCATATAAGAAAGAACTGGTTCCCGGAACTTCGGATGTACCAAAACAGGTACTTCAGATCTGACATACAGGCAAAAAGTACCCTCTTTATAAAATTTAGTGCAGTTTTTTTAATATTCAAAATTATAAGTCAAAAAGGGTTCTACACTGATCACCAGTCATTCAGCTTTCATTTGATATCAACATTACCTAAATACTCTACATATTTTGAAAGTTACACTCATGGGTAGGAACTATTTTGTGTTAAATATGTACTACTTTCTGGTATGTGCTTTCTGGCCGGGCCGAATTAGTGGTGTTACACCTATAACAGAACCAAACTTACTATACTGACTTCAGCATCACTTTATTTCATTCTATGATCTATTTCAAGCAATAAAAAACACATAATGCTTAAGTCCAAATACTATTTTACTAATTTTAAGCTCAAATTGGACTGGTAGTAACATATAGGTTATTCAAAGAAAACTGCATATGGATATTATAAATGGCCAATATACTTATTTCATTCTTAATATCATTGTTGTATTTAATAATTTCTGTTAGGAAAACAATGTGCTTACCAATAGTCATATTTCACCAGAGTTTGTTCATTTAATAAAAATATATTAGACCAAACCTAAGACATAATTGAGAAAATTGTCCCCCCTTTTTTCTTCAAATTGGAAAAGGGACATTTTTGGTATAAACCATACTTCTGTGCTACAACATAGATTATAAAGAGCAATTTATATATTTTTCAGCTGGATAACTTGCTAAACTGGTTCAAAATTGCTTGTACAGTGAGATTTTGGAATTCTTATATGAGTATATAACAATTGCCTAGATTGTAAAAGGCTATCATAAGAAAACCAATAAAACTTGAAAAATCATAGGATTATTTGACCAAGAGCTATTTTTTTACCATAAACAAGTCATTATATACATGTTTTATTGATTGCAATCCCAAATAATGCAAAAATAAGAATTTGGAGTCAAGTCTTAACTGCATGCATGTTGTGTGACCATAAAAGGCTAAAATACCTGATTATGTCAATTTAAGAGCTGAAATTTCCCATAAACAGAATTGTTCATCCAAAAAAGATGATTAAACATGTTTACTTACATCAAATATGACTTATTTTCATTGGAATAGGTACAACTTCTAAAAATTGAATTTCTGATGATTCTCTGTAATAGGAAGTACACCACTAATTCATGGCCCCATTGCTTTCTATGTTAAATTCCTCAATTTCAAGCAGACACAGCTCTTTTGTTTCAAGTTCAAATAAAGTGACAATCATTGCATGTCAAAGCAACACTTTATGGTGTCTTGTACTGGAAAAATCAACATACCTTTAATGGCATATTCCGGAACTTCGGATGTACCAAAACAGGTACTTCAGATCTGACATACAGGCAAAAAGTACCCTCTTTATAAAATTTAGTGCAGTTTTTTTAATATTCAAAATTATAAGTCAAAAAGTGTTCTACAATGATCACCAGTCATTCAGTTTTCATTTGATACCAACATTACCTAAATACTCTACATATTTTGAAAGTTACACTCATGGGTAGGAACTATTTTGTGTTAAATATGTACTACTTTCTGGTATGTGCTTTCTGGCCGGGCCGAATTAGTGGTTTTACACCTAAAGGGCAATAATTCCAGAAGTACTGTAGTAAATTTCCACTTTGCTCATGTATTGTTGATCTTTTCATGGTTATCATTTTTGGTTCTTACAGTTTCACTTTATCTTTCATAGTTTTAAAGTGAATAGCTCTCTAAAAAAACAGTAAAATTGTCATTTAAGGGGGAGCAGTCGGACAGTTTGGGTAAAAATGGAAGGTAGGGAGGTCTTGCCACTTTCAGATTTTCTCTGTATATAACAGTTTACAGATGAAATTTGGAATCTTTGGACACATTTTTTAAAAACTTAAGACAACTGCTGCAGACAAAAGATTGATGCCAATGATGCCAAAAATTGACACTGGCCCTTTTGGAACAGCCAAGATAAATATTGGATGTTGTTCTTACTATCTTCTAATTCTAGGGGAAGTCATTGCCACCTTAAACCTACTTATAATATGCTAATGATTTTTTATATGCAGTTCTCAACAATCTACAAAAGACTTAATAAAGGCAAGCTTACATCATACCTTTAAAATAAGCCAATACAAGAACTTGAGTAAACAAGCACTTCTATGTCTCAAATGGAAGGCTTAAGACCTTAAGGGCATTTAATCAGCTATCTTGTATTTTGTCGATTGATGGTTTTTTAGTTGTTTATACAGTTACCGGTACAGTAGATACTTTAGAGACCTGGTTTGTAAGGTGATTGGTTTTTATTGTTTTTTCTGGCATGGTTTTTCTTCGATAAAGTTTGGTCACAACAGCCTTTATTCATGGCCTGTTGAATCATCTGTACAGCCCTCATACCACATTGATCAATACCAGTAGAATGGAGACAACCACGGTCATGAGAAAGGAAAATGGAAGTTCACTATTTCTGATACAGGGTCGTTAGTATTTGTTGGACATTCACACAGACATACAGTGTATAAAGAGGTTGAACAACAGTGGATAGGTATACTGTGCTGTGATAAAATATTTCAGTGTCATCATAAAACAAGTATGTGATAACACCCATAGCTAACCTGCAGACATGCCATCACAGGTAGAAAACAAGGAGTCCAACCGCTTAATGCTGAGAAGTGATTAAGGATGAATAAATGGTAAATAAAACAGGATATGATATGATGGAGTGATGAAAACATTCTACACTACCACACATAGGGGTTGATCAGATGGAAGGGCCTTTTGTGAGCATTTAACAAATTGTTGCTAGAGGTGGTTAGGCAAGAGAATCTCTTTGGCTTAATATTGGCCAGACAACACAATTAATTTGTAGTGCATTTCTTTTGAACAATAAATGCAAATCTAAAATAATTGCACCTGCGCTTTCTTAATAATATTTTTACAGTGTGGTGTACTACTTTTGGGACAAATTATATCAAAATTATATATTTACAGTGTAATTTCATCCCCTTCTTGCTTTTTGGGGCATAAAAGATGAAGAAATAAATTGGAAAGGTGTATGAAAAATATTTGCTAATAATACAGTCCAGATCTAGGGACTATATTTGTAGACAATGAAAATCAAAGGGCGATAATTGTGTCATCTTGCCTCTTACTTAATAACAGTTATTCTAAATGGCTTGTAAGCAAACCTCTCCATCATCAAATCTATGTTGCTGGACAGGCATTGGCTATCTTTATTCAATATCATCATCTCATCGTGAAAATAGGTAAAGATAGGATGACAAGCAGTGCCATGTTATCTACCTAATTGGCAGAATGTACCACACACTGAGTATCATTCGGAGTAAAATTGACCAATACATGCCAGCATTGAAACCAATTACAATTTCAGCATCGTTTGGTAATTTGTCAAATGATGCCAGCAGCACAGAGGTAGCAAATAAATACAGAGCACTGTATAACATTACACTATCAAAATTTAAAATGCAAAATTTTTATTTTTGCAAAACCTATCCCATCGCAATTTTCACATAATAAAAGGCAGTGGTTATTTTGCCTGGTGCCGGCTGTAATAAAAATGGTTGAATCCTATTCTTTTTCAAATTTAATTTTCTTTTTTAATTTGAAGTATCATATGACTTTAAATCAATTTATAGTAGATATCAAAATTTCAATAGAGCCGGCAAAGTAGATAATTTACCATTTTGCTGGCATCTGCAAAATAGCCACTACCATAATCATACATGTGAACCTCCCGACGGGAGTACAATAATCCCGTTTTCAGGGTCTCCTCCCGACCTCCCGTTGAAGAGAAAGAAATCCTGTGTATGAAATATTTCATGAATGAAAAATTTCAGTCCAACATATCTGGTGTAACTGACATTACCTGAAGTTATATTTTACCTGTAAATCAATTAACATGCATAGAGTCGGTCCAGGTAATTCCGTACACTTTTGGTCCGAAATGAATGTCATTTGGTTCCCTGTTTGATACTACAATATTTTAGAAGGAAACCGGTAACTAGATCTATCGTAGATAGTATTAATGTTTGACTTTTTCCTTGCCATTCAAAGTAAAATACCGAGAATGAGCATATCGAACAGAAAAGTCACTGTGGCTAATATCGTACGGATGTCGTGTATTTCCGTACACCTTGATGTGTAATTCCGTACATTGATTAAATTCAAAATCGGATTGCTATTTGGAAATAACTTGACTAGTAAATTTATAACCAAGATCATCTTCAAATATTTCAATCTTTACTTAAATTCACAGTATCACAGCTTCATGTCGTGATGTAGATTCTGGCAGTTT